AGAACTGACTCTGTACACCTGTACATACACCTGTACCAGGGAATTTGTGAGGCATATTGGTTAGAAACAGGTCTAAGATAGAGGAATTCTCAGGATGGCTTTTATTTAATCTAGTGGGGGAGTCGATCAGTTGGGTTAAATTAAAAGACAAGCAACATTCCTTGAATTTGTCACAGAGGGGGGTCGACTTACACCAATCAATGTTGAGATCTCCAGCCAAAAAGACCTCTGTGAATTTTAAATTACCAAGGAATTCCTTCATGGCATTTAATGCCTCAGGTGATGCTGAGGGTGGACGGTAACAACCTACTACAGTTAAAATCTGGCCTCCATTCAAGGTGATATTTACAGATAAGGCTTCAAACTGGTTTGGAATTGTTTTGGAAGACACAAGACTTGAAACCAGAGAATCTCTAATGTAAATAATGACTCCACCCCCCCTTTTTTGACGATCACAGCGGTAGATGTTAAATCCATTGATTGCCACGTCATTATTCATTACAGATTTGTTGAGCCAGGATTCAGAAATAAAGATAACATCAGCCCCAGAAGAACTGACCAGGATTTTCACAACATCAAGTTTTTTCAGAAGGCTACGAGCATTTACATGCAGAAAATGGAGCCCAGAGGCGTTTTTAAAGTCATTTGGTGTGCTGTAATTAGTGGGGGGTCCAGGGTTGGGTTGAATCCCTGAGAGCAGTAACAACATTATTAATGATTAGATTACGCCTTGTTCTGGGGATATTAGCTGAGTTTCTAACACACTGTTGAATTTTGGTGGTGTTCTTGCAAACTACAGAGTGTAACCCTTGTGAATTAAACGATGCAACCATTTGTTCAAGCTGCATGTTTCCTGCCACACCGTGCTACACTCTGAAAGTGGGAGCACATGGATGTTTTGTCTCGTAAGGGAGAACAACTGAGCATCTACCGCCATCGTATCCTGTGTGGGGTAGGAATGTGCGATATGGCATAAAATTCATATCACGATATGTATTGTGAAGAGTGGTGATAACGATGTATATTGCAGTATGTTTTGGGTATAAAACTTGCAATAGGTATAAAAAAAGCATAGGGTGTCCTTTTGCCATCATATATTTTGAATGAAGAAAATTCCACTACTAGGTCCAGAGAGTTTTAAAATAATAAACAAATCAAGTATTAGGCTTCTTTCTTGTAGTGCAAAACAGTGCAAAAGATATCAAATGTAGTTTTAGCCATATGTTTTAAACAAAAGAATGTGTTGTTAACTCTAACGGTTTCCAGTATTCTCACTTAAGAAATGAACAGCAACATAGCAGCATTTTACACTGAAACACTTCACCCTCGAACCCTCTAGTGTGCGTCTCCTTCCGCTTTAATGGAGAGCTGACACAAATTGACTCTGTGACCAGAGGGTCTCGCAGTAAAATCACACAACACAGCGTTTTTTTCACAGATCAGAGAGCAGGTTTCTCTAAAGCTGACCAACGCTTACTTTAACTTTCGATGGAAAAAAAAACTTTTCACGGAACACAGCGTTTTGTGCATGCGTCAGAATACGGCAACACTACGGCAAGCTGGGCTTAGTTAGCTTGTAGCTTTGCTACTTAGCCCTCGAAGAAAAGACTTTAACACCACTTGCACACAGTTTCCAACTCAAAAAAGTAACGATTAAATCTAACAGCTCCGATTTTACACTTGAACACCACTTGCACACAGTTTTCAACTTAAAAAAAGTAAAGATTAAATCTGACAACTCTGATTTTACATCAGACACAGCATTACTGTGGTTAGCCGATAGAAGTCAGATCTCTATCGTAGGCTAAATTTCTATCGTTTCTACAGTGTACCATTTATATTGCACATTCCTAGTGGGGGGGGGCCTTCGCCCACACTGACCCATGGGAGGCTGGCATGAAAAGGGCCGTTTATCAGCTCCTGTGTAACTGTTCTTACAATGTTTCCTGGCTGTGCCCGGTTGGGGAGAAGAACCGGCGTTAGCAGGTGAACAAAACAAGCGCTGCTTCAGTGGGGGTTCACCTTCAGCGCTCACTTCTGTTGGCCAGTCAGGAGAAAGAGATGGCTAACCCCTGCGCAAAGCTCTCACTTTATCTGCAGGTTCATGTTTTTTACCTGAGTGTGCGGGGACAGTTAGGTCCCTGTGCTCTTTGGGCTTTAACTTTTTGTTAAACATCTTACCACTCTGTGTTTTCTGACAGCTGTCCTCAGCGCTTGCCTCCTCTGACAGGTGAGGAGGCGGGGCTGGTGGATGGATGGAGGAGCTGCTCAGTGCAACCACTCCATCTCCTGTTTGTGTGTCATTAGACTAAAAGTGCTTTTCTTTGTGTTTACCTTTGAACAGTTCCCTCAGGCTAACCTTTTCATTAATTGTGGAGGCTGTGTCCTGATGCATGCTCAATAATCCAGGTAGAAAAATCCAAAAAAGTTCAATCTGGTCCTCTGGACGTTCAAAAAACAAAACCCAAAAAAAAAAAAAGCAAAAAAAATGTAGAAACGTTTTGTCTCTCATCTGAAAGACTTCCTCAGTCTGAGGTGCTGTATTCAACTCAGTCTCTTAAATTGCACCTTCTCAGAGTGGATCAACCAGTTTGCTGCTGACAACCAAAACCAGCTGCTCACATGGTCAAGAGGGACCATCAGCCTAACAATGGATCATTAGCACACTGATAGCTGTTTACTATTCACAGGGGGTTGAGTGATACTAGCAATGACAGCATTGTAAGAGGGGGACAGTTGAACCCGGAGGCCTCCACCCCTGTTTAACGATGGACGATTTCTTTTCACAAAGATGGCCTCCTTTACTCTTCTCTCAAACCATCGTTCCTCTCTGTCCAGGATGTGAACATCTTCATCCCTGAAAGAGTGACCGCTGGCCTGGAGATGAGTGTAGACCGCAGAATCCTGGCCTGATGATGTTGATCTTCTGTGCTGGGCCATCCTTTTGGCCAGTGGCTGTTTAGTTTCCCCGATGTAAGACTGATCACAGCCCTCCTGACACTGAACAGCATACACAATATTACTCTATTTGTGCCGGGGGACTGGATCTTTGGGATGAACCAGTCTTTGCCGTAATGTATTTTGGGGTTTAAAAGCCACTGGGACGTTATGTTTAGAAAATAAACGTCTCAGTTTCTCTGATACCCCCTCAACATACGGAATGACCACTGGTCTGGGTCTGGGTTCCTCCTTTTCACCTGATGGCTGACTGGAGTCCTGTTTGGGTTTCTTCTCTGCTTTCAGGAAGGTCCAGTTAGGATAGAATACATTAGTATAAAAATAAATAAAAGCGGCCCATTTGGATGATATTTAAAAAAAAAAAGGCACTCACAATAAATAAACTATACTAACAATAATAAAAATCTTAATAAATACAACAACAGTCAGAACCAGAACAATAAGCAGCAACAGACTGTTTACAATCTAACTAATCAAGTTTTAAGTTTTTGGCCAAAAAGTCCAACTTGTCCACATTTTCTGCAAAAAGCACAGATCTAGTTGCAGTTTATATCTCCAGCGGTGGAGAAAACTGCTCCTAGCAACAGTAGCAGGAATAGAGAGGTAGCACTTTGCTAATTTTGCAGTGTGGCTGTATTTGGCCTCATTACTCACATCCTCTTCTTGGACCTGCTCCCACAGGTGGGACAGGTCCCTGGAAATGTTCAGAGTTCAGTCATCACAGACTTCTTAGCTGGAGGTGATCTCTGGTGGATTTCCCTAAGAGAAAGAAAACTCTGCTGCTATCTCTGTCCCAGACTGGAAATAAAACACAGAGGTAAAAAAATGAGTTAATATTATAGTTTTAAATAAAAAAAAAAGTAAATTAGATAATAATAATAAAATAACAATACCTCTTCTTGAACTGCCATCATTTGTTATGAGGTGGTTGAATCTCTCATTTATCATCATCAGGACAGGATTTTAATCTGGTCCAGGGCTTGTTGACAGTATCAGTTTTAGCTTTTTCATAAAGTGCTGCTGCAACTTTTTGGCTGAAGTGTTGATGTGATGGGATGTCGTAGCGGGGCTCAATAACTTTAAAGTCGGTGCATTAACAACAGAATACGTACGTAGATCCAAAGCTTTAAAAACTCCTACAACTTGTGTTGTTGCTTTGGACCTATCTGAATTACCTGATAAAGGATGTTTAAATGTTGCTGCTATTGGTCTTTGCAACAAGTTGCTAGAAAAGACTTCACATTCGGATGATGTTGCATTAACATCAAGTGCATTAACAACAAGTGCATTAACAAGTTAGATGTGTTGCCTGCTGCGGATCCAATGTCCGTGAAACAATGTTGACACACAGCTTTGGATTTGTTCACTTGTCTTTTAAGAAGAAAGCCATAATGTTCCCCAACAGGAGATTGCAACGAAAAGCTAGAATGCTAATGCTGCGCGTGGTGCAAGATAATAGCTTCGTGCTGAAACACGCTTAAGAAACTTTAGTTCCGCGGCACATAATCTCTCATTAATAAAATTTAATGAGTGTAAAAATAACTGAAACGGTACGCACATGGACCGAACCGAACATGCCATACTGAAATGGTTCAATACACCCACGTGTACGTTACACCCCTAATAGAAAGGCACATCAACTTAAACATGCCGTACCCTGCCGCATGCGTCTCAGTGGGGCATGAGGGTTCTCCATGACCCTGTCGCTTAGTTGATTTATTTTTTTTTTGTTATTTGCTTTGAAAGTCCAACTGAACAGATTCATGTCAATAATTTACACTTCAGAAGATGTGTAAATAGAAGCTCCAATACACAGGACAGAGAGCAAAAAAGCAGGAGAGAAACGGGAGAGGGAAGAAAACACGTCTGTCTTGCTCAAGAGCAAGTGAGGAAAAAAGGGTGATCAAGCTAAAAACCATCTGTTGCAGATCACAACTTGATCCCACAGTGCATCCCTAGTTGACATATGTGTTATGTTTAAGTTTCCTGAAAGCAAACAGTTATTTTTTTCCTGACACTCTCTCAATCCTTCTCCCTCTCAGTTACTGCTCTGCTTTTCAAAATGGAGGAGGCCAATATTGCCAGTAGAGCAAAAGCACAGGAGTTCATTCAAGCAACCAGCCAGGTGAGTCACAGTTCCTTACCATCCATCCATCCATTATCTACCGCTTGTTCTGAAGTCAGGTCGCAGGGGCAGCAGCTTGAGCAGGGAGGCTCAGAAATCTCTTTACACAGCCACCTCTTCTAGCTCTTCTGGGGGGAGTCCAAGGTGTTCCCTGGCCAGCCAAGAGACATTCTCTCCAGCGTGTCCTGGGTCTTCCCCGGGGTCTCCTCCCAGTCGAACATGCCCTAACCACCTCAACTGGCTCCTCTCAATGTGGAGGAGCAGTGGTTCTACTCTGAGTCTCTCCCAGATAACTGAACTTCTCACCCTATCTCTAAGGGAGTCCAGGTACCCTGTGGAAAAAACTCATTTCAACCGCCTGTATATGCGATCTCATTCTTTCGGTCACTACCCAGAGCTCATGACCATAGGTGAGGTTATGGACATACCAACCTCAAAGTCTCCTGACTCTGCTTCCTCCATGGAAGATGTAAATGGTAAATGGACTGTACTTACATAGCGTCTATCTGTCTTATTTCAAGATACTCAAAGTACTTTACACTACAATCTGTGCCTCATTTACCCATCCACACAGCACTAGATCTCTACAAAGCTAATTGAACAAATCATTCTAATGAGACTAATCAGTGCTTTAGATCACATTCATACACTGATGAGACTCACATCAGAGGCTATGAGGGGTTCAGTGTCTTTCCCAGGGACACTTCGGCATTTGACTGCTGGTGGATTCAAACCCCCAACTCTCGCATTGGAGGACGACTGCTCTAACCACTCAGCCACAGCCGCCCCAGTGCCAGTGGGATTGAGAAAGTCAGAGAAATATTCCTTCCACCTCCTGACAACATCACTGGTTAAGGTTAACAGCACCCCACTTTCACTGAACACAGGCAGCTGAGGAGTACCAGAATTCAAAAAGCGTTCAATACAAAAACAACTGGACTTTATTTGTAACAGGAGACGTTTCGCTCCTCATCCGAGGAGCTTTCTCAATTCAAAGGAGGAGTACCAGAGGGCCAAGCGGGCCGCAGCCTTGGCTGTTGTTGAGTGAAAATCTCGGATGTGGAAGGAGTTCGGTGAGACCCTGGATAACGACTCTGCCGGCTCTTAGGAGATTCTGACAAACAGTTCCTTACCCTCCCAGTTGTTTACCCTCCACCGTTTTTATTTTTCATCTTGATCATATAAAAAAATCTATAACAAAACACTAACAAAATCTAGAATGACGCCGCTCAAGGTGGCTGCATGTTGGAGTAGCTCTGTTACTTTCATTCTAAGATTTTGCTTTTGGAAACTTTAATTCCTCTTTTTCTAGATGTAAATCTTTTAATTTTTTTGGATGATTGTTTCCTCTGGTATCGGATGCTGTGCAGCTGGAAGAATTTTTACTGAAACTTTTTTAGTTTTGGACATTTGTTATGATGCGTAACCATGGCAACAAGGCAGTTTTCTACAACCAACAGCAGCTGATTAACATCTCAAAAGCTCAAATAATGTCTCAACTACAGCCCCAAATCTCAAATGAGTTGAAAAGGATGTTCTGTGGACACATTTTCATCTACCTGCCAGCTGTGCTCGAGTACCTGACCACTGAGATCCTGTAACTAGCAGGAAACACGGCTCATGACAGCGGAAGGACAGGATCATCCCTCGGCACCTACAGTATGTGGCTGAAAAATAAAGGGGATGGGGCCTTTCAGTCAGTGGCCCCCAGGCTGTGGAACAGTTTGCTCCTGCAACTTCGTTTTGCTGACTCTGTTGAGTGACGAGGAGCTCGGCAGACTGCTGGGAGGAGTGGCCATCGCTCTGGGAATAGTTCTGCCCAGCGTTCTGGCGGTCCTACAGCCCGGGGGAACCGAGAGGCCAGCCGAGTCCAGGTGGACGGATCAGGCGGAATCTGCAGCCAGTTTCTTGGGATCCACTGTGGGATGGACCTTTAAAAGAGATCGTTCTTGTCTACAGCCATCAGTATCTATAACATCTCTTAATGAAATGAGGGTAACAAGTTACAACAACAAATAATTTCCCTTTGTGGATTAATAAAGTATTTTTGAATCGAATTTGAATTGAATAAAGCGTTTTAATGCAATTAAGTAATTAAAGGCCTAGAATTCAGTGAAAAATGTATATCACCTACTGTCTTTCAAGCCAGAATTTTTATGTTCTTTTGTAAAACATTTCTGTAAAATGGTTGAATAGACCAGTCTTTTTTATGCTGCCCCTGACAGCATAAATTTAATTAAATATAAGAATTATTTAGCATTGATTAGGCTCCGATTTCAATTCCATATTGCAGCAGGGAGTGTATTCAGTGGAAAAAAAAAAACAACAGAATCTCACTTGTTCACTTACTGTGGCAACCCCTCAGAAGGGAGCAACTCAAGAATCTTTTAAGTGAAAAACCATACTGAACTTGTGTGTCTGAAGTTCCTCTTCATTAGCAAACTTTCTCTCATACAGATACTGTCACAAGCCAACCAGAGCCAGTCCCAGCAGCACGTTCCTCCTTCCTCGTCCTCCTCATCCTCACAGATCCCTCCACCTCCTGCTTTGCCTCCGCCTCCTGGTCTAAGCCCGGCCCAGTTCATTCTCCACAGCTCTCTACCATTAGTTGGCTGCACCAAAACTCCACCTTCTCACCTCCACTCTTCCTTGGGTGGTGGGTGTGCACAGACTCCGCCCCCCATCATGTCCGTGGGGCTGTCAGGGATTACGGGCAGCTCTGGCGAAGCCTTGTTGGATAACGAGAAGAAAGACCCAGATAAGGTATGACTGAACACCTGCTGTGGTGACATGACGTCTCCTGATTGCTCAAAATGAATATGCTGCTGCTCTAAACTGTCATGTAATGTAAATCATACTATCACACTTATGGCTCAATAAATACATTTAATGACAACTGTATCCACTTAAAATGATCTGAACTAAATTAGCATGATTTTATTGCAACAAAAATTTATTTAGTTCTCAAATACCACCATATACTTTTCAATATGAGCAGTGCCTTCAGTTAGAGCTTAGCCACATACAGTGAGGAAAATAAGTATTTGAACATCCTACGACTTTGCAAGTTCTCCTACTTATAAATCATGGAGGGGTCTGAAATTTTCATCTTAGGTACATGTCCACTGTGAGAGACATCATCTTAAAAATAAATTAAAAAATCCGGAAATCACAATGTATGATTTTTTAATCATTTATTTGTGTGTTACTGCTCCAAATAAGTATTTGAACACCTGTGAAAATCAATGTTAATATTTGGTACAGTAGCCTTTGTTTGCAATTACAGAGGTCAAACGTTTCCTGTAGTTTTCCACCATGTTTGCACACACTGCAGCAGAGATTTTGGCCCATTCCTCCACACAGATCTTCTCTAGATCAGCCAGGTTTCTGGGCTGTCACTGAGAAACACGGAGTTTGAGCTCCCTCCAAAGATTTTCTATAGGGTTTAGGTCTGGAGACTGGCTAGGCCACTCCAGAACCTTGATATGCTTCTTACTTTTCCCACTCCTTGGTTCTCCTGGCTGTGTGCTTCGGGTCATTGTCATGTTGGAAGACTCAGCCATGACCCATCTTCAATGCTCTAACTGAGGGAAGGAGGTTGTTCCCCAAAATCTCGCAATACATGGCCCCGGTCATCCTCTCCTTAATACAGTGCAGTTGTCCTGTCCCATGTGCAGAGAAACACCCCAAAGCATGATGCTTCCACCCCCATGCTTCACAGTATGCATGGTGTTTTTGGGATGGTACTCATCATTCTTCGTCCTCCAAACATGGCAAGTGGAATTAAGACCAAAAATTTATTTTTTGGTCTCATCTGACCTAAAGCTGGAGAATAATTCGATATCGATATATCTCAATATATATATACTTTTATTCAATAACGATCATGTGAGTTTTAAGCACATTTTCGATATTTCGATAGGATTACAACGTTTCACTGACGCATTTCTTTTGCTGTTCGGGTTGAAGCAGCCACTTCAGTTTCAATCCGGACAGAAAAAGGTGCGACACAACTACATAAGTGCGTGGAGACGTAATGTTACGCAGAGCTCAAGTCCAGAAGGCATTTGTGGTAGCAGGTTAAGCTAGGCTAAGCTCCAACGCGTGTTAAGTTTTCTCTTCAAAATAAGTGCCCATGACTGTCAGAATGTGACTGAACAAGCTTTCACAAGCGAAGAGAAAGCAGATGACATCACTGATAAGAGAGGAAAGACTAATTCGCTGGTTTGGAAGTGGTTCGGCTTTTTAAGATCCGATAAACTGCAGGTTTCAGTCAGTGTGCTGCAAAATGTGACGGAGAGTCGTTCTAACTCGCGGTGAGAACGACTCTCTTGTTCCACTTGACAGAATATGCTGAGTCACAAGATGAAGCACAATAAGTTTGAGCCAATGTGTCCCTGAAACACCCCCAGCACTGCATGTTTTGTTTTTTTTCATTTTGTTTTTATATGGTTTTTATATATATTCATTTATTCATTCATTTAAAATAAAACAAATTCATCAGAAAGAAAAAAAACATTGAATGAAAAGGTTGCAGAAAGAAGAAAAAAAATTGTATCTACCCCTTATTTAAAAAATACAAAATAACTACAAACAAACTTTTTTTTTCATTTACCCTTTATTTATACAGGTAGTCTCATAGAGCCATGAGAACTCATTTTCGAGAGACCTGTTTAGGGAGCACATGGTGGGGGTTAAGGACCTTGCTCAAGGGCCCAGAATGGGGCGAATGAGGGTGGAGGCAGGTGTGGGTGCTTCACCTACCCTACCCACATTTTTTATGTTGTCGGTACCGGGGTTTGAACTGGCGATCTTCCGATCACAGGCCCACCTTCTCTAACCTCTGCGTCAACACTCTCCCAAACAACATCCTTCACTTGAACAATCTCCAAAAATGAAAACAAAAAACATCAGGTATCCTTCACCTGGTACTATGCCTTCCCAACAACTTTAACTATCATCTTTTTAAACATATAAATTGTTTTAGAAATTTTTATGGTGATATCAAGACAATTTCATAATCCTATTCCCTGAATTACAACACAGCTCCTTCAGACTAGTTCTAAATGGAGGTTTTACAAACATTTCCAATCCCTTAAGTTTATATTGACTCTCTTTTTTAAAAAACATATTTTAATTGAATATTTGGGGCTAATATTTTTATGAGCTTTATACATGACTTGTAAAATACTATATTCAACCAAATCATAACATTTTAAGAATTTCAACTGATGAAATAATATATTTGTTGGGTGACCATAGCACTTCATACTACTAATAATACTTATAGCTCTTTTTTGTAAAATAAAAATAGGATTTGTAATTGTTTTGCATGCTTTTCCCCAAACTTTAATACAATAGATTAAATATGGAACAATCGTTACATTATACAATATATGCAAAGCTTTGTCATTCAAAAACTTTTGCTTTATACAGTAATGCAATTGATTTTGCTGTTTTATTTATATAAGTGGGCAGCATGGTGGCGCAACTGGTAGAGCTGCTGCCTCTCAGCGAGCAGGTCCTTGGTTCAAACCCCGGTCCAGGGGCCTTTCTGGGTGGAGTTTGCATGTTCTCTCCGTGCATGCGTGGGTTTTCTCCGGGTGCTCCGGTTTCCTCCCACAGACCAAAAACATGCATGTTAGGCTGATTGGTAACTCTAAATTGTCCCTAGGTGTGAGTGAGCGTGTGAATGGTTGTTTGTCTCGTGTGTCTCTATGACTGTGTCTCTCTGTGACTTGCGACCCGTCCAGGGTGTACCCCGCCCCTCGCACAGTGATTGCTGGACATGGGCACCAGCGACCCCCGTGACCCAAAATGGAATAAGCGGGTAAAGATAATGGATGGATGGATGGATTTATATACTGTAAGTATTTTACATAAGATTTCCATGTCAGCTTCTCATCAATAGCGACACCCAAAAATTTGATTTCATTAACTATGAATTTCAGTGCTGTCAATTTTAAAGTTGTTGTTTAAAGTTAAAACTGTTAATATTGACAAAGTTGAGAATTTTATGTTTATCTGATGATTTCAATTTTTTTGAAGGTTAAATACAAATAAAAGGTGAACATTAATTTATTTGCATAGTTAGTAGTTTTTCTGAGGCTTTTATATTGTTTATATCGATATCGAGTTATATTGTTATCAACCGAAATTAAGAAATATATTGTGATAAAAATTTTGGCCATATTGTCCAGCCCTAATCTGACCACATAACTTTCTCCCATGACTCCTCTGGATCATCCAAATGGTCATGGGCAAACTTAAGACGTGCCTGGACGTGTGCAGATTTAAGCAGGGGAACCTTCTGTGCCATACATGATTTTAAACTATGACATCTTAGTGTATTACCCACAGTAACCTTGGAAACAGTGGTGCCAGCTCTCTTCAGGTCATTGACCAGCTCCTCCCATGTAGTTCTGGGCTGATTCCTCACTTTTCTTAGGATCAATGATTCGCCACAAGGTGAGATCTTGCATAGAGCCCCAGTCCGAAGGAGATTGACAGTCATGTTTAGCTTCTTCCATTTTCTAATAATTGCTCCAACAGTTAATCTTTTTTCACCAAGCTGCTTGGCAAATGCCCCGTAGCCCTTTCCAGCCTTGTGGAGGTCTACAGTTTTGTCTCTGGTGTCGTTGGACAGCTCTTTGGTTTTAGCCATGTTAGCAGTTGGAGTCTTACTGATTGTGTGGGGTGGACAGGTGTCTTTATGCAGCTAACGACCTCAAACAGGTGCTTCTAATTTAGAATAATAAGTGTAATGGAGGTGGACTTTTTAGAGGCGGACCAACAGGTCTTTGTTGTTGATTGGCAGGAGTTCAAATACTTATTTGCAGCAGTAACACACAAATAAATTATAAAAAAAAGCATACATTGTGATTTCCAGATTATTATTTTTAGATTATGTCTCTCACAGTGGACATGCACCTAAGTTGAAAATTTCAGACCTCTCCATGATTTCTAAGTGGGAGAACTTTCAAAGTCGCAGGGTGTTCAAATACTTATTTTCCTCACTGTATCTGTTCAGTTTAGTTTAAAACCTCCAGCTTAAGTCAGCTGACATAAAAGCAACACATTTTGCAGATGATTAGGTATTAAAAAGATTAACAGTACTACTGAGGCAGTTTGGTAAACTAAGACTAGGCCACCAATTAGGCAGTCATTTCTGGTGAATAGTTGTTTGATGTAGTGAATGTGGGGGTCAGCTTCACTACTAATTAATTATTCTTAAAGCTAGTTCAGCACAAAGAATATTAATTATTTAAATACAACGGATTCTTTCTTTTTCGAGTTAAATTAATGCCATGTGACCAAGATAACTGTGAGGATTGTTTAATCAGTGACATGAGACGCCATTTTTCTTTGACCCATCAGAATAAATGCGGTCATTTATCAATCAATCAACCTTTATTTATACAGGTAAATCCCATTGAGCCTCGAGGACTCATTTACAAGAGAGACCTGATTTCAACAAAGAAAGATGACAACAATGGACAACAGCAACAACAATAAGCAGTTATAAAAACTCATACTAGTTTTTTTTTTTTGTTGTTTTTTTTTTAACAAATAGGATGGCTAAAAGGAAAAAGGTAACAAAACAAACAAAAAAAAAAAAACAGCTAGATTCCAAGACAAATGTATAAAACTAAAAACAACCCTGATCCACCCTGAGACGGTGCTATTTAAGAGACTGAGCTGAATACAGCTCCTCAGACTGAGGAAGTCTCTCGGATGAGAGACGAAACGTTTCTACATTTTTT